GCTGCCTCTAGCTAGCAGTGCGTATCTCAGAAGCAGAGAACACTAGGCCACTCTGACATTTTTTGTCGTGACAGACATTATGAGGCTGAGGTCATGCTAAGCCTCCTCACAGAGTATCCTTGGGGGTCAACATTCAGCACGTCACTGGCACCCAAGCCTCCTAAGTTTTGAACTCGAATAGGCAGTATTCTACATTCCAAGGCAGGCAATCCCTATGGATTTCAATTCCAAGGCCCTTATTTTCCTTCAGGTATTAATTCACTCATTTTGTTCCCTTGCTTGTGATCACCCCCCAAAAAACAAACACACACCCAACCAGGCAAGGATGGGCTTGTGAAATTAGGTGACAGAGGCATGGAGGTAAGCCGCATTCACTGGGCGAAGGTTGAACTTGGCCCACTGCCGATCAGTGTGGAGCGGGCATGCCCTGAGATCCCACTGACTGGGCACTGGTCTGGTGTTCCTTTCTATGCAGAGCCTTTTGGAGGCTCTGTTGCTGGATGTGGGCATACTTTGCCGAAGGGGAAGGGAAAGGCTTTTAAAGCATTTTGAGATGCAAGGTGATATGGTAACAATATTGAGAAGGGGGAGGGACGGCAGCAAGAAAACAAAAAAAACAGTTGGCTTCTATTAGATCTTAAAACTAAAGTTACTAAGGAATTAAATTTTTCTCACAATCTGAAAATGATCAGGCTTCTGCAAACTCCTGACATGGCCTTCCCTCATCTGATTCTTGGATAGCCCTGTAGAATTCCCTTCCGATTTCAGCCAAGTATCTGACCTGGCTGTTGTTTGAATAAAACCCACCACCAATGTTCCTACCTTTCTCCCCCTTGCCTGTAGGAGCCAACAAACCCTTCAGAGGCCAGTGGATTAACCAGTTTCCATCACGTCAGTGAATCACTCAATAAACACAAGCATATGCTGCATACTGGGCAGCAGACCCAATTCCTGCCCTCTTGGAGCACAGCCTAGTAGGCAAGGCAAGTCACCAAATGTGACGAAGAAAATGTCAAGGGTGCAGCATGGGAGCGTGCAAAGGGGGGACACTTCAACAGGGAGGTGGGTGGGTGAGGTAGTTTATTGTGCCAACCTGGCTGATAAAACACTTGGGGTTAATTGAAGGGCGGAGGGATAAATGGCTCAGTGAGCCTCGCCTTTCTAGTTCTCCAGTCTCTTGCTTTCTGATGGTCGGACCAGGGTGCAGCTGCCTTAGGCAGTTCCCTGCTTCAGCTGGCAAGGCTCACTTCCTCAAGACATCCCTGTGGAGAAGCCACATAGACCTACCCTGATGCAGCCCTGGGTGCTGGAGCAGCCATGTGGAGACCCCTGCCAGCGCTGAGAAGCTTACACATTCACTGACTTGGCTTTGCTTCTGCAGTCAGTATCATTGCGTCTGTTTCGTGAGATGCAAGGAGGACTTTGTGGATTGGTGTTGGACATATGGGTTAATGTTGGACTTGGGGGCTTGGGCAGCACTGGGTTGGGGTGTTTTCTTGATGAGCACTTACCCTTTATATAAAACTCTCTCTTATACATGAGTTTCTGTGGATTTGTTTCTCTAAAGCACCCAGACTAACACAGTGGGTTTGGAGAGACATTTTTCTGGGTAGAGTAGGAGCTGAAGCTAAACCACCAAGGGATCATCAGGTCAAAAGGCATGAAAGCAGGAAGCAGAGACTGGACCGACAGAAAAGCCGTGTGAAGAGGCCATGGTAAAGCCTCTCTTTAGCCTTACGGCTATAGGTCTTCCCTCTTGCCCACTTCCTGATATACCCTGATATACCGGACTAAGAACCCTGCCTCTGTACATCCTCTGGGTTATACTGGAATGATCTGTTCCTGTCAGGCTCCCTTATTAAACTCTCTGAAGGCAGAGAAGATCTTCACCCAATTTTGTACTCAGTATGTTTCAAATGACCGAGACTCGTTGACCTAACCCTGGACAGGAGATTCACATTCTTCTCCGTGGTTTTGCTCCTCAGTTGCAGTGTAATCTTGGGCCTTCAGGATGGGCTACCTCTTCCTACAACCTAGGGTCAAAGATCTGCTTGACTTGGGGTCTCAAACTAAGACTGTGTCTCTTAAGGAAAACTTGCTTTTTACCTCTAGCATGTGGAAATTACAGAGCCCAGTTAGGGTAAGGAGTTCTGTACCTTCTCCCCAGGCCCCCGCCCCCCCCCCAATCTCTTAATCTGTTTTTAAAACTATGAGCCCTAGTGGCATAGTGGGCTATGCATTTTTTAATATAAAGAGACTATTTGTTAAGTCTTAAACCATACAAGGGAAAGGCAACTAGAGAGACCTATCAACTAGATGAGACCTTTAGCACACGCTCATAATAGTGTCCAAGGAATGCGATTTCATCTGGTATGGTTCCCTGTATTACTGGAAGCCACCGCTTCCTCTCAAAACCAGCGAGTTTTCAGGAATGACTTAGATTTACTGTACTTACTCATGTATAAGCCGAGTTTTCCCAGCCCATTTTCATATGCAGTTTTTGTGGTACAATTAGGTGCCTTGGCTGATATTTGGGTTGGCTTTTACTCAGGTACAGATGTAGGTATAGAATGAACGGCATGCGTGGTTCTGGAGTACATCCAGTGGCCGCGTGAGGCACAGGTGCTTAATGAATCCCACTACTTCTAATATGAATCATGCATTCCTGGGTGACTAAAATAAATTCCCAGAGTCGAAATGAAATGGGGACAGCGACCGACTACCAGAAAATAAACACCAACTTTATTAACACAACAGCAACAGTAAGGGTTTCCAATTTCTCAGAAGAAAAGTAGCATGAGGCCAGCACCACCCTGGTAACCTTTACAAGATCAAATCTCACGTTCAGGTCGCTGTTCTGCTATCTCCCCACTGTACCCTGACCCCAGATTTCATCAAGGACACCTGCCATTGGAGCAGTGGCCAAGGTGTTTTTCTATTGTAGTGAGGACGGCTTGGTATAGCGAGAAGCCATCCACGTGGGGAACTGAGGCATACGTTGCAAATTCAAAAAGAATCAAGAACTATGCTGAAATGGCTAGGGTGCCAGGAAGAGTCCTTTTCCGTTCCTACACCCGTGTCTGGGCGAAGGGAGAGGGAGCAGGTGGAAAGTTACCAGTAGAGCAACAGGTCGGTCTGGTGGTGTTCTGGGCCCCACTTCTTTGCTGGTAGGTGTCTTCTCTGGCAGCTGCACAGCTTTACAGGGGAAGGTAAGGACTGCCAGCCAATCACCTCTTCTTGAAGCCGTACTTTTTGCGTTCATAGAAGAGATCAGTCTTAGAACTCCCCAAATTGACAATCTTTGGGCAACCATCTCTCTGGAAGATAGAAGAGTTTAGAGATGGTCAGAAGTCTGAATTGAGGGGGGAGATAAAAATTAGGCCACAGAGGGAACAAAAGGTAAACTTCTCAAATAATCGTCCCCAAACACTCCCGATACGATACTTCCTAACACTGCTGCTTCCTGGTCTCCCACAGCTTTTGAAAGACCACGTTGTAATGGCCAGGATCACTTTTGGATTTATGGTTTATCTGTTCAGCTTACTAATCACTGTATTCAGTCAGTTATCAAGAACTAAGCAGGAGATGGTGCCCAGGACCTGCTGACCTTCTACCCAGGACCTGTAATCACACCTGTTGGCATCTAGTTGCTAAATTGATATGTCTGAGATAAAAGTGGGAAACTTCAAAATTTGGCAAAGGATTTTCTTCAAGTGAAAGGTAAGACACATGGATAGTCCCCTGCCAGCCAAGCTCTCTAGCCCTTCTGTATAGAAGCACGATCTCCAGAAAGGAAACAGAGTCTTGTTTGTTTTAGGTATCACCAGAGAATCCCAGGCTTTAGTGTCTCTTCAATTCGCTAAATCTGACACACGGGCTTGGGGAGGAGCACTCTTCCTATCTGGAGACAGCCATTGATGGGTAATGCTCTGATCCATCAAGACTTGCTCCCCTGGCCATTTTCTGTGCTTCAGTGTTCCAAGAAGCTCCCAAGGAGCTCTGGTCCCCAGGGATTATGACTCCCATCAGTTGATTCGAGACTATGAGGGGAAAACTGGTTACCGGTAGAAACATTCCCGAGGTCTGATGATTGTTTTCTACGCCCCTGGTCTCACGTATGACACTAAGAATTCTCATCTGTGTAGCATGGTGTAATCAGGCAGCCAGGTCTAGCCCCAGTCTCACCCATGGTTAGGTGTACTCAAACAAGCTGGCAACCTGTATTTAAGGTCCCTGTGAAAATGAGGAGCAACCGCCTCCCCTGGCCTGAGAAGGCCTGGCTGATGCTTTGTGCTATGACGACAGCCTAATTTGTGCCTTGCTGACTTGCTATGTGACTGTGAGCAAGTCCCTTTGGGTTTATATTCCCTAGCGTGAATCAGGTCAGTGTTTACCAAAACCACACCAAACCAAATTCACTACCATGAAGTCAATTCCAAATGTTCCCACACTGTGCTTAGAGGCCCAGAGCTACCCACTGGCCAGCAGGTACCAGGAGGACCTGCTCTCATGCACTGCTCACTGCTTAGGTTGAAAGGACAGGCTCTGTAGCCAGACCACCTGACTTTGCCAAGTTACATCAGCTCTCTGCGTATCAGTTTAATTACATGTAAGTGTCTATAATGGTAGTACCAACCCCCAAGAATTAAGAGCACTAAATGACTCAACAAACAGGATAGTGCATGGCATATAATGAGCTCTTCTAAGCTACAAGAAATTCAGCAGGCAAATGTTAGTAAGTTGACAATGGTATACACCCCCTGTCCCCCTCCGTAGAAGATCCTTTTTGAAGACAAGATGCTACATATTGGAACTTTTCACAGGAGTTCACAGAATACCCTTTCTCCCACAGTGCAGTGCACCACTGGTTTAAAGCCATCGGAAAGCATGTACCAAAATATGACAGATCAAAATAAAATTCATACAGAACTGAAATTTTTTTTCTTTAAAAAGGTGACCAAAATTTTTTTTTTGAGCAAAAAATTATTGACTTAGAACGGGGCAAAATGAGTCTACATCTCTTTTAACAAAGATGTAACAAAGAACTACGAATGGATGCCAGTAACAGGCTTTGTTCTAAGGACATGAAACTGTCCACTGTCACTGTTTAATAAATATTAACAACAAAAAGCTACATAGACCAGCAGTTTGGGACCTTAATAACCATACAATTGTATCATGATTCTATTTGGGGACCAAATAAACCAAGAAGCCACCCATCACCAAGCACCTAACACCCAATAGAGGGATCCATCAAGGTGAGGGCTTATTCCTCCTTCTTCACAGATTTTCCCAAAGTGACACCCAGCATGTTAGTTGCAGAGCCAAGACTTGAATGTTGGCTTTCTGCCACCTCATTGGGAAGGGTGTGTGTGTGTGTGCGCGCGCGCCTTCCTGACAAGGCTCCCAACAAGCAAAAAGAGAAAAAAAATTCTCACCAGTTCAGGATGGTGTAGGGAACGTGAGACCTGGGGTTTCACACTGTAAAGTGTCACTGCTCTCACAGCTGTGCACAGGGTGGTAGAAACAGCACAGGGAGGACTAGGCACACCCTTGGTCTCCATGACAAAAGCAATACAGTGAGGTGGTCAGGGGCGCATCCTTTGAGCCTGACTGCATCTCAAAGGGGCTCTACAGATACCAGGATGACTTGTGATCTGATGGTCACTCTGTATTTCTACTTCCTTTCTCTCCTTGACACATTTACTGAATGGAAAATGACGTTGACCTCAACCTTTAGCATCCTTGACTCCTACCCTTAACTTGGCCCCTGGCTGATGGTGACCCTGATACAACACCTCCACGACTGGTTGGGGACCCATCGGATGGTTGCTGGCTGATTTTTGGTTTGAGGCTGGCGTTTCTTCCCAGTCTGACTGAAGCCAGCCGCCCACTGAAACCAGTGGGGCATCAGAAGACACATCTTCCCTGGGAGAAGGGCCGTGGTTGCACAGGAGTGTATCATCTGGGAATCGACCCCGAGTCTCTCACATGGGGAGAATTCTACGACTGCCCTCACATTTCTTAGTGGGGAAATAATGAAAAATGGCCAAGGAGGGCAAGACTTAGGTTTTAGTCCTGACATGCTACTTATTAGCCATGTGACCTTGGGCCAAGGTGCTTATTAACTCTCCTCCTGTTTCCTCACCTCTATCAGGTGGAATGTTTAATGAAGAATCTTCATTATCAAGTCAATGCCGCCTCATAGAGGCCCTATAAGACATAGCACAACTGTCCCTGTGGGTTTCCAAGTCTGAAAATCTTTACATCTGTAATATGCCTCATCTTTCTCTTGCAGAGAGGCTGGTGGTTTCAAACTGTTGACTGTGTGGTTAGCAGCCCAATGTATGACCCGTGAGACCACCAAGGATCCATCAGCATAGGACCTGGTGGGGTCCAAAAGGAGATCCAATGATAAAGTGCCAAAACACAGGGAATCCAGGACAGATGATCCCTTCAGGACCAGTGGTGAGAGCAGCGATACCAGTAGGGTGGAGTATAGAGGGGGAACTGATTATAAGGATCTACATATAACCTCCTCCCTGGGGGAAGGACAACAGAAAAGTTGGTGAAGGGAGACATAGGGCAGTGTAAGATATGACAAAATAATAATTTATAAATTATCAAGGGTTCATGAGGGAGTGGGGAAAGGGGAGGGAGGGGGAAAAATGAGCTGATGCCAGGGGCTTAAGTAGACAGGAAATGTTTTGAGAATGATGAGGGCAATGAATGTACAAATGCGCTTTACACAATTGATGTATGTATGGATTGTGATAAGAGTTGTATAAAACAATTAAAAAAAAATCACAAAGATTAAAAAAAAAATTAGGTCATATTTCCCCTCCCTCCCTCATAAGCCCTTGATAATTTATAAATTATTATTTTGTCATATCTTGCCCTGTCCGATGTCTCCCTTCACCCACTTTTCTGTTGTTTGTCCCCCAGGGAGGAGGTCACATACAGTTTCTTGTAATCGGTTCCCTCTTTCCAACCCACTCTCCCTCTACCCTCCGTTTCGCCACTCACACCACTGGTCCTGTAGGGATCATCTGCCCTGGATTCCCTGTTTCCAGTTCCCATCTGTACCAGTGTACATCCTCTGGTCTAGCCAGACTTGCAAGGTAGAATTCGGATCATGATAGTGGGGGCGGGGAGGAAGCATTTAGGAACTAGAGGAAAGTTCTATTTTTCATCGTTGCTACATCGCCCCCTGACTGGCTCGTCTCCTCCCTGAGACCCTTCTGCAAGGTCATCTCCAGTGGCCTACTAATGGGCTTTGGGTCTCCACTCCGCACTCCCGGTCATTCACTATAGTAAGATTTTTTGTTCTGATGATGCCTTATACCTGATCCCTTCAACACCTCGTGATCTTATAGGCTGGTGTGCTTCTTCCATGTGGGCTTTGTTGCTTCTGAGCTTGATGGTCGCTTGTTTACCTTCAAGCCTTTAAGATCCCAGATGCTATACTTTTTGTTAGCCGGGCACCATCAGCTTTCTTCGCCACATTTGCTTATGCACCCATTTGTCTTCAGTGATCCGTTCGACAACTCGTGATCACAGAGGCTGATATGTTCTTCCATGTGGGGTTTGTTGCTTCTGAGCTAGATGGCTGCTTGTTTACCTATGAGTTGTTTATGAGCCCCCAATAAAATGATTAAAAAAAAAAAGATAAGGTGCCAAATTTTAACCCAACTGCATCTGTAATAATCCATTTTCAAACGTATTTATTCTGCAGGAGAGCAAGGCTATTCACATCCCTGGTTTATGGTCAGAGGGGATTCACCAAAAACTCAATCCATGTGTATTTCTCCCTCACTTAAAAAAAAACAAACTGGAACAACTTTAGAATGGGTCAACGGGGAAATCAAATTATTAGTATTTGTGTGAAGGGTTATGTGTTGATTGTGTGTGAGACGGTTTGGGGGGTGTGTGTGTGTCTTAGTTACTGGTTGAGCAAGATAAGAAAACGATAGGAACCAAGGGTGAAGAGGGATTAACTGGGTAATTGATAAACTGCTTAATAAGAAACCGCTTCAGTTAGCCCTCAGGTAGCAGTGTCAGATACTAGCACTGGCCCCTCAACGACTATGAAAAAGTGTGAGAGGGCTCAGCTAAGTTTACTGGTCTAATGGCCTTATAATCGGTGCCAGGAGCAAGAAGGGAACGGTAACAGGGAAGATTCCTATGTAGGAAAAAGTCCTAGGACGGGTATCTCCATGACGCTGTGTAAGGCTGAGAGGTGGATTATGTCACCGGACGGCTTGTGTTCCCTGGAGACGGACGCTGAGTAGACGTGAGCTAGATGCCATATCACTTGGCCTCAGAGCACTGCTGTCTGATGGGCAGGAGGGGACAGGATGATTCTCAGGGATCAGATGGAAGCATAGAGATCCAAAGGGATCAGGTCACACAGCACATGCAGACGACAATGGACACTACTAAGCATTCTCTGGCTGCAGACATGAGATAGAAACTCTAGCTACAGGCACGTGAAGTTCACGCCAATGCTGACACTGCGGGACTCTTCCTAACTGAAGCACTGCTGATACTTCCATTTTCCCTGCTGTTCCCTTGTCCTGGCCCCACGGCTTATGCTCTTAAGCAATCACCAAACACCTATATGCAGGACAGCATACATGGTGGGCAATTTACAATGCTCGGACTACATGCCAGCCACCTAACCGAGAACTGGGGGGAAAGAAAGGAGCTAATTCAAAACCTAAAACCCTTGCTTGAAAAGAATTCAATCTAACTGGCTGACAAGATCCACCTCTAGAAAAGTTCTGGTCGTGATGAAACTCAAATCAGCATTTAGGAGATTTGTTCAAATCATTGTTTATGTTTAGTTCTTTAGGATCTTTCTCATCTCTCTCCACAATAGAGTCTACAAAATAGTCTTGTCTGGCCTGTCACTTGCTGGGGGTGGGGATCCAAACTGATAGACTGCTGAGGTGAGGTGTCTGAGCTGTTCCTCCCCCACATGCGTATATCCTACTGCGAGGGCTTCCGAAGACAACAAAACATCAGGATGACACCATGAAGTTTAGTCAGACGGTTGGGCTTGCCACTTATTAGCTGGGTGGGGGGGCGGTAAAATGGGTATGAGACTAAGTACCCACTATCAGTGTTATGGTGCAGAAAACGGGCGATACCATTTATAAAGGACCTGCAATTACTTAGCTCATGAGAACATGAAGAACATTACCTTTCGCCTTGTCCTACACTGAGTAACCAAACCAAAAGCTCAAATCCAATTGGAGTTAATTCTGTCCTTCTAGGGTGGGGTAGAACTGCCCCACAATGTTTCCAAGGATATAAATCTTTGTGGAAGCAGAATGCCACAAATCCTTCTCCAGTAGAGTGGCTGATGGGTTTTAAATGTTAACCTTTTGTTTCATAGCTGAACCCTTAATTCCGGCACTAGCATGGATCCTACTAGATAATCAGATATCCTCCCAACATACTTCCTTTTATTGGGTCCAAAGTACTAATCCAGTACTAACCTAACAAAAAATAGTAAAACACACCTGCAATGCTAATCCATAAGACCCCTCTCCTACCCCTGGGCTTAGTGGAGTACTAGTAACTGGCCACTGGCACCACACAATGCCAGGGATTGAAAACATCTGAAGCAGCACCACAAGCAATCCTGCAATATTAAACCAAACTGTCCCAAACTCAACTCTGTCACCACATCCACCCATGATGGTGAGCTGAGTCAAGAGAAATGCTGAGTGGCCTTTACACACCACGCACTGTGCTAGGGCTTAACAAATGCAAGACATTGTTTCTGAGTAAGAATCATCACAGACACATCAAAGGAATGGAGCGGACTCTCCAAATTGCTGGTGTTGACCAAGAGTTGCTTCTCTTGCATTTTGCTTGCCTTTTACTGGACGACACCCAGCTTGGCTCACCGAACTGGAAGAAATTATAACTTTGCTGATTAGCTGAACACAGTAATCTCCCCAGACAGTAGGAGTTTTCTGTGGGTGGCAAAGTGGCGCTAAATAAAAGGAGGAAAGGGCAGACGGGAAGCTTATAGAGACTTACATCCTTCTCCTGGATGGTGCATTCCTTACAGTAATAGGCATCTGAGACTCCGGGCCCTCCACAGATCACACAGCGGCCCTGGTAGGAGCCGTAATTACACTCGTCACATATGCGCACCAGGGTGCAGGGGCGCACATAGGAGTCACAGATCACACACTTGCCATCACCTGTGAGGAAAAGGAAACTGAGTGATGCTCATCAGTCAAGACCTCCCTTCCCAAGTCCCTTTGTCTGCCTACGCTTATGGGTAGGGCTCCATTTTCCTTTGAGCAGAATTTAGGGCCCTCTTCCAGCTTGGCATCAGTCCAATCCCCCTAACACTTACTAAAAGCTATTCAACACAAGTGAAGAGCTTAGAACAGCACCTGGTAGATGACCCAAACCAAACCCATTGCCCGTGAGCTCCTTTTTACTCTCTGCAACCTCACAGGGCAGAGTTGAACTGCCCGATAGGGTTTCCAGAGCTGTAAATCTTTCCAGAAACAGACTGCCACAAGATGTTGCCACGGGGCAGTTGGGGGTGTGGGGCGGTTCCGTTTTTCAGTTAAAGGCTGAGTTCTCTAACACTGGGCTGCCAGGGCTGCTATAGTAGGCCATCGGTCTTGATAATGGCAAAAACAACACCTCATGTATATTGAGGAGCGGGTCATGCTATTTTGGCGATGTAACGTGTCCTAAGCTAGAGATTTCATCAAAGCCCCAATGCAGTGTTCAAAGTGGTCCAGTGGGGTGGAAAAAGTCTTTAGTTGCAAACTGGGATTCTCTGGCTACATGTTCCTAGTCCCTGCAATCAAAGCCCTCTGGATGGCATCTCTGGAAACGTCTCTGCAGACTCCACTGGCTCGCGTGGCGAGTGTCACTCACATTTTTCACACAGTCTTCCGATGGCTGTAACGGGCAAAGAAGGTGAAGAGCATTGTTAGCATGAGGGCGAAGAGGGGAAGGGCATCCTCGAGGTGGGGCGGGGACGGGGGCAGGGACTTCGGTGAGCTCTAGGGCCAGTCATCCCATCTTCGTCAACTTTGACTTGAACCAAACTAGAGTCTCTCTATGGTCTGGGGCAATCTGGACAGCGTCGCTCCCCGGGACCCTGACCCCAGGACTCCACCTCAACCGCTCACCTCCGGCTCCCCACCCAGGCGCCCCGCCGCCTAGCCTAAGAGGCCACAAACCCGCGCGCTCCGACATACTACCCGGAGACCGTAAGGCGGGAAACGTGGCGGCTCCGAGGTAACACCTGAGGGGAAGGCTCAGGATTTGCAATACCCCCGTCCCTAACACCATTGCCACCCAGATGGACGCGAGCAGGGCGCCACCTCACCGACACCAGCTTGCTTGCGGCAAAAGATCAAATCCGGATGGTGTTTAGCCATAGCTCCCACTCACACTGGCCACCGGAAGCGTCACGAACTTCCGCCCGGCCTTTGACCCCCACGGTGCTTGCCTTTTGGTTATCCTGATTGGTCCTCGAGACTTCCATCAGGCGTTTAATAGCTTTGCACCAAGTCCCGCTCCTTCTCGCGAGATGTACCTTCCCTGGCGAGTTTCAAATTGTGGCAGTCAGGTCCTGGAAGCTGCGTGAAGGTCTTATTTTAAATAAATAAATAAATTAAAAAGAAAAGAAGAAGAAAAGATACCTTTCCCAAATTTGGATGGAAGATAAAAATGAAATTTGTTTCTTCTTTCAACATCTTTATTCTGTCATTTTATTGCTGCAGGTGTTTTCATGTAGCCTTTTGTCCTCATGTGCTCACTCACACTACAAGAGCCCCGCCCGCCGTGCGCCCAAGCCCCGACTTCTTCACGAAGGCTCCACCCCCCGCCGCCGACGCGATCTTCTCCGGCCACGCCCCCTGCCGCAGACCTTAAATAGGCCGTTTGGCACGTCACTTTCACGCGACCTCATCTTTGTCAGTGCACAAAATGGCGCCTTACAACCTACTGGTGACCCGCCTGCAGGTAAGCGAGCTCCTGGCCCTCAGGGTGTGGGGGGCGGGGTGCCCTTCTGGTATCTACGGCTGTGGGCGAGGCTGGGCATGACGAGCGCGGCCTCGGGCAGGTTTTGCGTGTGCCTGTCTCAGCCGTGGGCCCAGTGCCTGTGACCGATTCGCTGGCGTCCGAGGTCAAGGCGTCCCCGGCTCCGCTGTCGGCCCCGGTCTTTCCCCCGCCCCGTGGGAAGCTTGGGCACGAGCAGCGGTGGCCACGTGGGGAGCGGAGGCTCCTCGTTAGCCCCTCAGGACCACCCGCCCCGCTCCCGTAGGGTTGCTTTCTGTGCCTCAAGGTGAGGACAAGGTGACTGGGGGCCACGTCCAGTGCAGAGTCCGTTAGGCCTGCTGCCTGACGGTCTCCCTTCCTAGCTGTCAGCATCAGAGATTTGCTAGCCAGTTTGCCAAGCCTGGAGTCTGGAGGAGAAACTGGGACTCTGCGGAACTTGTAGTGAAGGGGTCTGCCCGGATTCATGAAGTAGTTACCATCTTTTTTTTTTTTCTTCCAATCCCTCCCTCCACCTCCCCACCCACCTACCAATCGAAATAGTTACCATCTTAATAATCGCTTATATACGTATTTAATTGCAAGACATTCCGTATCCCCTCGTTTGATTCACACGAGATAGGTGTGAGATGATGTTTCTTAGTTGATAAATGGGGAAACCCGCTAGGAAGTAGGTGAAAGTTCTCACTGTTAGGATTGCCCCTGTAGTTCAGTGGCCAGGCCATCTGCCCTGCTCCCTCTGCACTGTGAGTTCCTTGTCAGCCTGCCCTCACAGAACTTTCGACCCTGCACAGGTTAGGGTGCAGGAGTTAACGTTTGTGTTTTGGAGAGTCCTAGAATGGAGTATTTTGAACTCTTCCCCCCCCCAATAAGGGATGGAGGATAGGGCAACTCGGTTTGACCTTGACTCTCCTTTTATGAATCAACCTAGGGGTTTGACTGACAAATAGGTTTTTCACTCCTATTTGGCAATCCTTAGGAAAGTATTTTACTCAGAGGTTCAATGTTAGGTGTATATTTTGTTAATAAAAATAAAGGAGGCAGACCACTTGTACACAAGTGACACAACTTTGATTATAAGAAAATAAAAGTTTTCTGCTAGACTCAAGGAAGTATTGTATTACAAGAAGTTAAGTTTCAACTCTGATTTAAAGTGAAATAATTGATTGTAAAATACTTCTGATTTCATATTTTTGCACAAAAGCAAGGGATTCCCTCTTAAGGCCCTCTTGTTTCTCCAGGTTCATGGTGTGGAAATATTTTTCCCCCCACCTACTCCTGGTATACGATGTACTGCAGTCAGGCAAGATTACATAAAAAAAACTACAGATTTACTAAGCTTGGAAAAGAAGTATATTCACATTCCACAACTGAAAACCATCCTGAAAAACCTGAGTGTTAATTTGGCATAGAAATATCATGCTGTGCCTTAGCCCGGTCACCTTGAACAAGTTACTTCCAGAATCCCAGTTTCCTCAGGTGTCATTTGAGGAAGACTCTTCATTTTTAAAACATTCATTTACTGAGTATCAAATAATATTTTTTTTCAGGTGGTTCTTAGGAATGACGCCCAAGTAGAACGTGCTTGTATTTGTTTATGATCACCATATAGTCCAATTTCCTCTTTTACAGATGGAAAACCCAAAGCCTTGAGAAACCTGAGTGACTTCCAGTAATAGACCAGGTGCTTTGTAGCAGAGTCAGAATTAAAGTCCAGGTCTCCCTGTCTGTTCATTCAGCCACAGGTGAATAGACAGAATTTGCATCTGCCTTATCCCTCATCACCTCCCAGTAGCCAGCCTATTTGAAGCCTTGGCCAGCTAAACCCTGTCTTCTGAGAACTTTGTGAATTTTCCTCTTTGATGTTGAACGACTTTGAGAAGTGGTGGTTACTACCTTTAGTCCTCGTGCCAGAACACTGTACCTTCGATTCATTCCGCCTTCATTCACCACATATTCACTGTACTCCCTACTGCAGAGGGTATTGGAGATCTTTTTCAGCAAAATAGTCTTCTTTACTACTACCACTAAGAGTAGCTAACATGTAACTGTGTACCAGTAATCTTACATGACCCTGTTAGATAAAGCAGATGTGTGCAGATGAAGACACTGAGGGTCAGAGAGGAAGTGCTGGACTGTGGCATTAGGGTGCCTGGATTTAAATCCTGACACCATCACTGTGACTTTGGCATAAAACTTTACCTCTGTGTACCTGTTGGCATGCCTGTAAGATATGGATGATGGTATATTGCCTTATGTAATCCTCAGTCATCATTGTGGAGCCCCTGGGTGGTGTGCACGGTCAGCGAACTCCACTGCTTCTGGAAAGGTTGGAAGTTGGAGTTCACGCAAGATACTTCTCAGAAGAAAGGCCGGGTGAACCTACTTCTGAAAAATCTCAGCCCTTGAAAGCCCTGTGGCGCACACTCTGGTACACTTGGAGTCACATGACTTAGAGTTGACACAATAAACAACCTGTGTTTTAAAATCATATTACAACTGCAAATTCTTTAGAACCCTGTCTGGTACCTCGTAAGTGCTATATGCTTCTTTATTAAGTATATCGTCACTAGTTAGCCAATATGATATGAATCGGCCCATTCCAAGGCCCAGGGTCCGAGCAACTGCACCATTTTCCATCCCTTTGACATTCAAGACAACCTGTTGACCAGGGCACCATTGGCGAGCTATAATCTGAGACCAGTGCACACTCAGTTGAAAATGGATTATTGTTTAGCAGTACCTGCTACCAGCTGCTAAGAGTAGAAACAGTAAAGGAAATGGGAGGTGAACTGTGGTTATGAATTGGACTGCTAACTGCAAGGTCACCAGTTCAGACCCACCAGCTGCTCCTTGGGAGAAATGGGCCTTGCTACTCCCCTAAAGAATTACAGTCTTGGATCCCCCAGGGGCGGTTCTACTCTGTCCTATAGTCTCAACTATAGCATTGACTCCATGGCAGGGAGGTTTTTTTTAATGTCTTAAAAGCCATATCTACTCCTTTTTAAAAATTTTAAAAATGTTTAATATTTGTGTACAAATGACTGTGGATGGTAAATAAAAGGAATTGGGCCCTTACAAATACATTTCTCAGCTCTTTGGTTTTGCCTTGAGGTACTGGGTTCTTATCATGTGACCTTAGGGAAGTTCTACAGCATGTAAGTCTGGGGTGGCAGCTAACTACAAAGAAGTCTGAAGTCTTTAGCAGAGGTTAAATTTTCTATAAAGTACCATGATAAAAGGAAAAAAAAGACTGTCTTTTATTGTGAAAGCAGGTCTTGGTTGCTTCTTCACTAAGTATTTCTGATTGATTGAGTCAACAAATGCCCCATCTCAAATTTGGGTGGGAAGCTGAGGGAGTAGATTCACCATCCTGAGGACTAGGGAAGCCCACATTGAAAGCTAACTGTTTGCACAGCACTGTTTTAGACATTGGGGGTGCCACAGTGAGCAAGAAAGAACACAGGAGACAATTAACAAGTGTGGTAGAAAGAGGAGGTTTGGCGATGTGGCCAGGCTTCATCTGGGACAATTGGAGACAGACAAGTTTCTCAGGAAAAGGTGACACGAGCAGAGACTTGAATAAGAAAGCAGCCACTCGGCGTTTGGGGAACAGAGACTCCAAGCAGAGAGAGTAGCATGTGCGAGGATCCTGAGATAGGCATGAGCTCGATGTGTGGAGGATAAGCAACAAGGCCAGCGTTGGTGAGACATGGGGTAGGGCTGAGCAAGAGAAGGGGCCAGAGTCTTGGGGGCTGCTGTGCAGTGAATTAATGTGGCCCCTTTAACTGGAAGAAATCCATATTTGTGTTGATTCCAAAGAAAGGTGACCAGCTGTGGAAATTATCAAACTCATTAATGTCACATGCAAGCAGAACTTTGCTGAAGATCATTCAATGATGGCTGTAGCAGTACACCAAAGGAACTGCCAGAAATTCAAACAGGATCAGAAAATAAAATAAGTGAAAAAAAAAGAAGAGGATGTGCCATGAGGGATATTATTGCTGACATCAGGTGGATCTTGGCTAAGTGCAGAGAATACCAGAAAGATGTTCACTTGTGTTTTATTGACTCTAAAGCCAGTGTGTGGGTTATAACAAATTATGGATAGCATTGTGAATAAGGGGACCTCAAGAACACTTCATTGTGCTCATGCAGAACCTGTGCACGGAGCGAGTCTTTCACATAAGACAAGGAAATTCTGAGTGGTTTAAAATCAGGAAAGATGTGCATCAGGGGTTCAGCCTTTCCCCAATCTTACTAACTCAATCTGTATGCTGGGCCAATCAGAGAAGCTGGAGTCTATGAAGAACATGGCATCAGAATCAGAAGAAGGCTTACTAACAGCTGCGATAAGCAGGTGGCCCAGCCTTGGTTACTGAAAGTGAAGAGAACTTGAGTCAAGATTTAAAGAATATAGTTGCCGGTATGTATTGCATCTCTGTGTAAAGAAAGCAAAAATCACCACCACTGGATGACAGTCAATACTGTATCATGAGAAACTAAGGAAATACTAAGTTGTCAATGATTTCATCTTGCTTGGATCCACGATCAGTGCTCATGGAAGCAGCACTCAAGAAATCAAATCATGTATTTCATTGGGCAAATCTGCCACACGCAAGACCTGTTTAAAGTGTTGCAGAGCAAAGATACCACTTTAAGGACTAAGGTGTGCCTGACCCAAGCCACCATATTTTTACTTGCCTCATAAGTACACGCAAGTTAGTGAATCAGGAAAAGCATCAAAGAATCGATGCATTTGAATTATGGTGCTGGTTAAAAAATCCTGTGGACTGCCAGAAAAATGAACCAGTCTGTCCTGGAAGAAGTACTGGCAGAATGCTCTTTACAGGTGAGGACGGTGAGACCTTGTCTCATGCAACTGGTGTCAGCCTCTGGCTGATGATGCTTATCTCCCTCCTGAAGCTAGGTGAGATATCATCACGCCACCCCATGAGGAAACGGCTTTATTCTAAGTGACGGAAACCCAGTGGAAGACAAGACGTGCCGTTGGGGAGTGACATGATCAGATTTATACTTTTGAGCAGAATCATTTAGGCCTCTGTGCAGGTGCTGGACCAAATAGTGACAGTGGGAAGGCAAGGAGACCAGGGTGGGGGTTGGGGTTGTTGGGATGGGGTTCCGGTGGTGGTGATAGTGAGAAGTGTTCCGGGTTTTGATCTGTTTTGGAGGCAAGTGGCTCGTGGAGCATGAGGGATCAAGAACAATTCAGGGTGATTTCCTCAGTTTGGGGCCTGAGCACCTGTGGGGGGGGGGGGGTGTTTGCACAGGACTTGAAAGCTATAGTCCAGCCAGGAGCGTAGTTTTACAATAGCTCTCATCCTCAACTTTACATCACTGCCTGTATTCCACAGGAAAGTGAGAGAGGGGGCAAGTGCCCTGTCCCCTCAGAACCCTCTTGTGCAGGTAGCACGTCCAACTGGGGCTGGTCTAGCCTGTGTTGGTCTGGTCCCTAGTGTCTCCAAGAGGACCATCTGGGAAGAGTCACTGCTGGTGGGCTGGTGGGGTTGGTGTCTTCGTGTGTGAGTGGACAGCTTCCCTTTGACATTCTTGGTTTTCCGTCCAGGCCGTGGGGGGCTCAGGCCTCTCAGCAGGAAGGAAGGGGAGGCAGCAGCTGGGACAGCTCTACAGGGGTGCCTGCTTGTGGTCTTTAAAAAGCAGCACATATCATGTCAGTGACCTTGGGGAGGCTTCCTTGGGAAGATGTGCATCATTAAGAAAGGTTCTGAAGGCCTGGCCATATGTGAAAGGTCTTTAATTCCAGTTTAATTCTCTATAGAAGTTTGTGGTTAGTTTCTAATGTTTATTTTAGGACTAGGCCCTTTCTCATCTTGAGACTAGGGAGCCCCGCCCCCCATTGTCCTAGAACAGACCCCCTAGGACCATGTCTTTATTTTAGGAGTTTGGAAGGGCTTGCAGAGAGCCCTGCATACCATGCAGAATGGTTTTCTTGGCTTCATTCAGCAAAACAACAAAAACCTTCCAAACTCATTGCTACAGAATAGATGCTGACTCAGCAATCCTGTAGGACAGGCTAGGACTGCCCCATAAGTTTTTGAAATTAACTCTTATTAGGATAAAAAACTCCATTTTCTCTCCCCAGGAGCAGCTGATAGTTTCAAACTGCTGGCCTTGCAATTAGCAGCCCGACCGGTAATCACTATATCACTGGGGCTCCTTCATTCTGCAAAACATGGACCAAAGGGTAGAGAGGGACTATTAGGGCAAGGTCGACAACTCCACTTTGGCTCTGATGTTGGACAAAATGAGTAACCTTAGAGGCCCGGTTCCCTCATCTGTAAAGTGGGCACTTGCCTTCTGCTCTCCAGAGGTTCTACTAGATGCCACGCACGGATGAGCCGTGAAACCATGGCGCTGAGTGAAGGCAGTCACTCCCCAAAGGCCAGATACTGTGTATTCTCACTCAGACGGAGTGAGAAGTATACGCAGATGTACAGAGAACGTTAACTCGCGATGACTAAGGGACAGTTGAGGTTTGAGAAGCAGTGGTGTTTACATTGGTGGGAAACTTGGCGGTGAGGATGGGTAGGAGTGCAGGACCTGGTTAGTGTGATCGGTACCATTTAGTTGTACACCTCATAAAGGATCCTTTGGCCAGTGCTGTGTTGTATTCATTTTCACAACCATCAGCATCCCAAGTGTTTTGGGGTTTTTAAATCATTTTAAAATGATTAGGGGCACATACAACTCTTATCACAATCCATACATACATCAATTGTATAAAGCACATTTGTACATTCATTGACATCATTCTCAAAACAATTGCTCTCCACTTAAGCCCTGGCATCAGCTCCTCATTTTTCTCCCTGCTCTCCCCTTCCTCATAAACCCTTGATAATTTATAAATTAATATTTTGTCATATCTTACACTGTCCAACATCTTCCTTTAACCACTTTTCTGTTGTCTGTCCCCCAGGTAGGGGGTTATATGTAGATCCTTGTAATCGGTTCCCCCTTTCCAACCCACCCTCCCGGTATTGCCACTCTTCACCACTGGTCCTGAAGGGATCATCTGCCCTGGATTCCCTGTGTTTCCAATTTCTATCTGTACCAGTGTACATCCTCTGGTCTAGCCAGATTTGTAAGGTAGAATTGGGATCATGATAGTGGGGTGGGTGGGGAAGCACTTAGGAACTAGAGGAGAGTTGTATGTTTCATCATTGCTATACTACACCCTGACTGGCTCATCTGCTCCCCACGACCCTTCTGTAAGGAGATGTCTAGTTGCATACAAATGGGTTTTGGGTCTCCACTCTGCACTCCCCCCTCATTCACATTGACATGATTTTTTGTTCTGATTCCAAGTTTTATTGCCCTTTACAGATACTGTACTTTTTCTCAGATTGAAGGTTCGTGGCAACCTGACATCTAGCAAGTCTCCCAGCGCCATTTGTGGCAGCATAGGCTCCCTTCCTAGCTTTGTGTCATGTGTTGTTGGTCGTTGTCATG